TAGTTCTTCGCTGTGTGGGTTGCAGAACAGATTCTAAACCCTTGGCTACCAGCAAAAGTGTGTCCAGTGGAATAATTCTGTACTCTGGGCGAGCTAAAATCAACCCCTTACGAATGTGTTCCCTAAGGCCTGCCACAAAGGCTGCAGATAACATCTGGGTGTGTGCTTTGTTATAGGTGCTGAACCCTAAGTCTGAGAAAGTCTGAGTCAATCTAGAGTGATACTTTTCAACAGTCTCAAGCTTATCCTGAATAATGTCATTTATACAAGTAGCCAGATCTGCTAATTTATCCTGTGCCCAAGCTCGGAGCTGCTCACAGAAAATTTCACCAGAACGAAAATCTGTATCAGAAGTGAGTGGAGCGTCATTAAAGCTCCGTTCCATGATTGGCCAGTATGCATCTCCAGCCTTTATTTCACACAAACTTATAAGATCCCGTCAGGCAGCGGAATATGTTTTTCGAATTTGAGCCATCCTGCGGAAAAAGGGCATGGGGTGTTTCTCAGGATCTGGGAGTGAGGTCACAAGGGTAGCAGCTTGGGAAGGGTTGAAGGTAACATACATGGGTGGTGCACCATCCGCTCCATGGTTAATCTGGGTATAACCCTGGGGGATAGAGAGCCGCTGGGGGAGCCTGTTCCCCCCTGGGCGAGGTGAATCCTGTTCTACCACAACAATCTCCTCAGGTACTACTGGGCCACGGTGCAGAGTGGTCTCGGGGGTAGCTGTGGCGGGGGCGGCAGGGAGACCGGTGATGGGAGAGGTAGTTGGGTGGAAGCCCGAGGCCTGGGGGGAAGCACCCACTGCATAGGGTTGATCCGACGTCGCAGACACTTCGGATCCAACCATCATGATTGGATAACTAGAGCTGGTGGGAGAGACATGAGGGACCAATGCCATGGATGGGGTTGCTGTGGGGGCCGGCTGAGATGGGCGTGAGAGGTGGGTATTTAGAACATGAGCGAGAGCAGAGATTGGATCGGAAGGCTCGGGTACGTTAGCGGGGGCGGAGAAGGGGTTGGAGGATCAGGGGGAGGAGGTGGAGGAGGAGGTAAATCAGTGAGAGGTGGAGCAGGAATCGCGGAATTAACCAGGGAGGTAACAGCAGAGAAGAGGGCGGATATCGACGTAGACAAGTCATTGGCCATGGTTGGGTCAGGGGTCACCGGGGGAGGGGTCGGAGGGATGGGAACAGGGGGCTGGGTTATAACAGCGTGGGTAGAGGGTAGGGACGGCAAATCAGTCTGGAGGGGAGGAGACAACGAGGTGGAGGGGGCCGGGACATCGGGAGGAGGTAACACTGGAGAAGGGGTTGGAGGGGTGGGAACGGGGGGCTGGGTCAGGGCGGTAAGGGCAGAGATTAGGGACGGCAAATCAGCCGGGAGGGGAGGAGGCAACGAGGTAGAGGGGGCCGGGACATCGGGAGGAGGTGGCGGTGTGTGGATAGCGGGAGGGTCCTGGAGGATGGGAGGGGTGCCTGGGAGTGTTGCGGGAGGATGGAGTGAAGCAGAAAGGGCGGCTACTAGTGTTGCAAGATCAACGGGAGGGGAGGAGGTAGAGGGAGGGCCAGCTGTGGTGGTATATGAGGGAGCGGAGGCAGGGGGGCCGGGATCAGCGGGCTGGACAAGATTCATGAGAGTGGAGAGTAGGGATGAGGGATCCTTAGAGGAGGAAGGAGAAGGGGAATGAGAAGGAGAAAAAGGCAGAGAGGATAATGGGGTAGGGGTCACGGGACAGGTCACTTTCGAAAGGCTAGCAAGGAAGGAGGAAAGGTCTGGGTCCGGGGGTATGGGAGAAGGGGGGTCTGTGGAGGAACAGGGGTCCGGAGGAATGGGGGCGGTGGGATGGACAAGGGTCGAGGGAGCAGAGTGTGAAACAGTCGAGGGGGGTGAGGGAGCGGGTGTCGCTGGAGATGGGGTACTCGAGGTGGAGAGGGAATGAGAGGAGGAGGAGGAAACGTCGGTGGATGAGGCGGGAGCGGTCAGGACGGGATCTTGGCGAGGTTTTGGAGTAGAAGCAGGCACTGGGAGAGGTGGCGGAGGACATGGAGGCGGGGGAACATCAACAGACGTAACGGGAGAAGGGTTGATGGAGGGGGCTGGGTCAAAGGGAGGTTGGTGCATGGGAGTGGGTGGGAACGAATGAAGTGGCACTGGATAGTAGTAAGCACCGTCTGCACCGAGTACGGGGCACAGGGGGGTGGGAGCTGAAGGCACACCCCCGGGGGGTGGGGTCTGTGCTGTGACGGGGGAAGCAGGGCGGGAATTTACTGTTGCGCTCTGGGCGCCATCATAGGGCGGTGGCCGCGGGACAATGGAAACAACATCATCATTGTTAACACTCCTATGGTATACGTACACAGTTTGCCCTTCAAAATCCAACTCTTCCTCGACCCACACTTCCCGTTTCAGACCTCTAGCTACCCGATACCAAGCCTCTGCAACTTTTGTGAGCCCATTGTCCAACAACAACCCTTCCTTGTCTATGAGTAACTTCCTCCAAAACTCAGGTTGCAATCTCCCACTGGGCGGCATCTGGAAGCCACACACCTTAGCAATCTTTCTAAGTTTCAACATTGCATCTTCCCCTGCCCTTTCTTTCACAATATCACAAGCCAACAAGCCCTTAGCAGGTCTAGCATGTTCCTGCCCCATCTTGAATAATTGGAGTGAGCCACGTGTTAGAGACAGATATACAGAGGAGATACAGGGGAGAAGGAAGAGGAATGTCTACAGTGCTCGACTGCCACGAGGACTTGGGTCCCGTGCGTCTTCCCAAAACGTAGACTAGTCACGGGGGTCCGCCCACCCGGGGTGGCGGTCACGGACCGGAGCGGCCGAGCGTGGGTGACTAACACAGCTCTGGGCAACAGACACAGGAGAGATAAAGGACAAAAGAGAAGATGAACGTGGCTACGCTAACGAGAAGACATTTGCAAAAGTCACAAACATAGAAATGAGCGTAAACCCCAGAATCCAGAACTAGCCACACTATACACACACACACACCAAGGGTACCCACACTGTAACAACAATTGAACAAAAACCACAGAATGACAGAGAGTAAAATGGCCATGTACATGTTAACACCACTGGCACCAGATATTTAAAATGTGGCAATCCCCAGCCCTCCCCCACCAGGCTGGTCCCGTTATAACACAAGTACCAATGAAACACTGCAATAATCAAACAAAATCCCAGCCCCACCGGCTGTAATGCGTTCCCTGCCCGCTAGGCAGTCAAGCTAACATAAAATCCCAGCCCCACCGGCTGTAATGCGTTCCCTGCCCGCTAGGCAGTCAAGCTAACATAAAATCCCAGCCCCACCGGCTGTAATGCGTTCCCTGCCCGCTAGGCAGTCAAGCTAACATAAAATCCCAGCCCCACCGGCTGTAATGCGTTCCCTGCCCGCTAGGCAGTCAAGCTAACATAAAATCCCAGCCCCACTGGCTGTAATGCGTTCCCTGCCCGCTAGGCAGTCAAGCTAACATAAAATCCCAGCCCCACCGGCTGTAATGCGTTCCCTGCCCGCTAGGCAGTCAAGCTAACATAAAATGCGTTCCCTGCCCGCTAGGCAGTCAAGCTAACATCTTTTTAAAAAAGGGGAAAACACACACACCGGCCGTCACACACATTTAAACGAATACAGGAGGCAGATAGACAATCGACAGGTTCACTTTAAAAAGGCACACCGGATGAGCTAATTACCTGTCTCTAGTAGCCTTCTGGAAGCCGGAAGTGGACTCGGAGACAGACCGACACAAAACAGGAGAATAACACAGGCAATGGCTGTATTATGGAGGTGATCAGGCTCCGCTTGTCCCACTTTCCGGAGGTCCGCTCCGGTCCGTTGGTTCCGGCCCTCCGAACCGGCCCTCCGGTGGCCCCACGTTGGGCGCCAATTGAAATGGAAAAATCAATCAAGGTATTGATTATTTCTTTGTGTATCTGCCCCTGGCCAAATCAATGAAACAATGCGTGCACGCTCCCTGAAGTAATTCACACCAGACACAGGTTCTAGGTTGTTGAATAACTTGAGGAAAGTTTATTCAGAGGGGACGGCAGGTCCCTTTTAAAGCAAAGTTACATCATAAGCATTGTCAGCGATAACATGGAATAATACATCAATTATTGGTTAGGTGTTAAGTGGTCATTCTAATGCTCTGCCTACTGGGGGTGATGTCACCAGGGCCATGAGGGTCTCCCACGGTTTCCCGGCGCCATCTTGCTGCACGAGGTAGTTAGTCGGTGTTAAAGGGAGGGGGAGGTAAGGACGGGTTAGAAGCTTCTAGCAGCCATCTTGATTGAAACATGTGTGCATAGCTTATATTGTATATAGTGAAATGAGTAAATAGACATTTTCATTTACTAGGAAATATGTGCAGACCTTATTTCCACAACATTACCTTTGAAAAAACTGTATTTTATTGTTCCCAGTGACTTTCAATTTGTAAAGATTTTAAAATTTCCCCAAATTTCCAGTTTTGTTTTCTGCAAATACAGGAGATGGGGAATCTGTCCCTTTCCCTGACTTTCCAGAAATGTTACATTTCTCCACAGTACCACTTTTGTCAAATTTGAAAATATACCATTTACAACTACCAACTAATTTCAGTTTGCAAACTAACCTTTTGTGTTAAAGGACCACTATAGTGCCAGGAAAACATACTCGTTTTCCTGGCACTATAGTGCCCTGAGGGTGCCCCCACCCTCAGGGTCCCCCTCCCGCCCGGCTCTGGAAAGGGGAAAGGGGTAAAAACATACCTTTTTCCAGCGCTGGGCGGGGAGCTCTCCTCCTCTTCTCCGCCCCGCCGGCTGAATGTGCACGCGCGGCAAGAGCTGCGCGCGCATTCAGCCGGTCACATAGGAAAGCATTCTCAATGCTTTCCTATGGACGCTGGCGTGCTCTCACTGTGAAAATCACAGTGAGAAGCACGCAAGCGCCTCTAGTGGCTGTCAATGAGACAGCCACTAGAGGGAATAGGGGAAGGCTTAACCCATTCATAAACATAGCAGTTTCTCTGAAACTGCTATGTTTATGAAAAAATGGGTTAACCCTAGAAGGACCTGGCACCCAGACCACTTCATTAAGCTGAAGTGGTCTGGGTGCCTAGAGTGGTCCTTTAAACTGTATCAATACTGTATAAAGTGCCCAGCAAAATCCAAGTACATCACAACCACTGCAACACACAGATTTATATTTCTACTAACTTCTTCATGTAGTTAAGTTAGTTTGACATGACCTGTCTTCCATAAAATCATGTTGTTTACTCCTAGTTATTTTGTTGTTCAAAATTAATTCTGGAATATTATCCCGTTACAGTCCTTTAAATAATATCCCAAACACAGAGGTTAACCCCTTAAGATCGCAGCCAAATGTACAAGTTGTGATCAAAACAAAACGTAAACAAAACCTGGCATTTGCGCTATATATCTGTCCAACTGTAATTCACCTCTTTCATATTAAATGCACCCACACTTATTATATATCATGTTATTCAGTGGAAACAGGGCTTTCATTTAACATCAATTATATAGGTATGGAACATAATTTAATATGAATAAAATATTTTAAAAATGGGAGAAAATAAGATTTTTTTAAAATTTTCTTAGTTCTACGTGACATTTTAACTGTGCATGTCAAAATACTGCTTGCTTTTACTGCAACAAAATACACATATTTGTATTCAGCGATGTCTCACATGTAAAATAGTACCCCCTATGTACAGGTTTTATGGTGTTTTGGGAAGTTACAGGGTCAAATATAGCATGTTACCTTTTTTTTGTTTTTTCACATTGAAATTCGCCAGATTGGTTACTTTGCCTTTGAGACCGTATGGTAGCCCAGGAATAAGAATTACCCCCATGATGGCATACCATTTGCAAAAGTAAACAACCCAAGGTATCGCAAATGGGGTATGTCCTGTCTTTTTTAGTAGCCACTTGGTCACAAACACTGACCAAAGTTAGTGTTAATATTTGAAAATGCAAAAAACTAATTTGAACGCCTATTTTGGCCAGTGTTTGGCTACTAAAAAAGACTGAACATAGCCTATTTGAAAAAAATTCAAAACGCAAGCATTATATTTGACTCTGTAACTTTTGAAAATACCATAAAACCTGTACATGAGGGGTACTATTATACTCAGGAGACTTCGCTGAACACAAATATTAGTGTTTCAAAACAGTAAAATGTGTCACAACAATTATATCGTCAGTATAAGTGCCATTTGTGTGTGAAAATTGCAAAAAAAATTCACTTTCACTGACGATATCGTCGTCGTAATACATTTTACTGTTTTGAAACACTAATATTTGTGTTCAGCGAAGTCTTCCGAGTAAAACATGTACAGGTTTTATGGTGTCTTGGAAAGTTACAGGGTTAAATATAGTGCTAGCAAATTAAATTCCCTGAACTTTTGGCCTGGGTTGTCAGGCAGGTCCGGCAAATTGTAATTAATAAAATGACCTAATTATGTAAAATTATTACATAAATATATACGTAGAATTATTATATATATATATATATATATGTGTGTGTGTGTGTGTATATATATATATATATATATGTATATAATTTTTTTTAATTATTTTTATTTATATATAGGTATATATATAGTGAAATATACGTATATACTTATG